GTGTGGTTTCATGAGCGGAATTCTAGGGGATGTAGAGACCAGTGTGTGTGTTTTTGCGGTGAATTGTTGTTTTAAACTCAGTGTCAGATCTAATAATTTTGAGGTTAAGAAAGGATAACTGTTTATTGTTTTCGTGTTCTATGGTAAATTTGATGTTGGGGTGAATGGAATTTATGTGTTTAAAGAAAGTTAGTGTGTGTTCTGTAGAGTTGAAACCAGCAAAATTGTCATCGACATATCTGTACCAGTATAGTGGGGGATGAAGCAAAGAATGTATGGCTTGTGTTTCGATTTTGGTCATGAATATATTGACAAGAACGGGCGAAACAGGATTGCCCATACTTAAACCGTCTATTTGAAGGAAATGTTCGTTGTTGAAAATGAAGTTGGTTTTAGTCGTTGTAAATTCTAGGAGGGAAGCAAAAGTGTACTGGGGATGTGCATTAACTTGTTGGGGTCATTAATGTAGAGGTTGAGTGCAATATTGCAAGCTTCATTGGCGGGGACTTCGGTGAAGAGTGACACGACATCAAAACTGGCCATTAAGGCTTTCGAAACGTTGTACATTTGCTGTTATGTTAAACTTATATTAAAGTTTTTCTTCATTACCCATTCAAGCCGTCTCCAACCATTATTAGTCTCAAAGTGGGTTCCTCGTCATCGAACATGTATAGTACGTGTAACACAAGATACAAGAATAGTACGTACAAAATACTTTATTTGTTAAGGGAAAAGATACAAAGGTTGTCCTTAATTTTGAACTGTTGACCAGAGGTAAGGCAACCGGTCGGAAGCACCTATTGTAACTTCTTGAGCTATGTTCTAACAAACGAATAATCAGATTTACCGACACATTATAATACCCCCACAACTGAGAGTATAAATATTTTTTAAGTTGGATTTCGATCCCGCGACCTGCAGATTGCGAGTCAATCTAACTATCAAGCCATGCCAGGCCACAAATGTACCCATTATGCACAGTGAAAGCATTATGTAAAGGACATGTGAAAATCTCTCTCCAGCAACAGCAAAGTGATTCAAGAAACTATCATAAACAGCATCGACTTCACTCGTTCTGACTCAACCTACGGCACCATCAAGTCACTGAAATGGTGCTCCGCCTTGGTGCTAAAGAGATTGCTCTTGACCGGCTTCAATAAGCTCGCAAAAACAAAATATGACTGACAGAGTTAGAATCCAGCGATAAAGACAGTCCACTTTTGGATGCATCTCTATGACTCCATCCTTTACTATATGCAGGTAAATCTGATGGATGTATTTCAGTTTAAGAAGCTGGACGACTTCTATAACTGATCGAGCAAACAAAATGTTTACAGAAACCAGAAGTTCTCAGCTGAATTCGCCTACATAGACGGTGACCAAAACTTGCAACTTAGAGATTTTCTCGCCTATATAGGTGATCAAGACTTGTAACATGTGAATTTTCTCTGCATTTGGAAACACTAAACAATCAATGGATATAAAAAGCGGTAACATAAAATGGTATTCCTAGAAAATTCAACATCAAATATAATACTTCATAAAATAATGTGACTCGGTAACGATCTTTGCCAATCAACATGATTTAAGTTTTAAAATGTGGATCCATTGAATAGAAAACCTTTCTAATGCGAGGTTCCGAGTAAGTAAAAATTAATTTCATCTGCTGTTCTTTCAACTATTGCAAGATGTTAGTCAAACGTTTCCTCAGTTCTCGTGCTTCCATCTTCTGAAACTAACACTTGAACTTGAGATGTTGTTCGATGATCTTGAAGAGATCATGTCGCTTTTTGCTGCCTTCAACAAAAGAATATAGTTTCTGAATTGTTTCAAAGAAACTTATTGTCATTTTGTTCTTCCTACATGTGTCCAAAACCACTAAATCCAAACGGTGTGCAAAGCAAAAAATACACCTTTGGAACAATAAGTTTCACATGTTCGATGACGAGGAACCCACTTTGAGACTAATAATGCTTGGAGACTGCTTGAATGGGTAATAAAGAAAAACTTTAATATAAGTTTAACATAACAGCAAATGTAAAACGTTTCGACAACACATGTGTCTTTAGTCCTGCGTAAAGGCCAGGTAAAGTAAAACAGCCATCATATCCTTGACCATACATATTGACAAATGCAAGATTATACTTTACAAAAAAGATCCTGCAATATGTTGAACATTCCTGCTGCCTTTGTATCAGAGCACACCACCATATCTAATAAATACTCAATTACTTCCCCCATTTTCACTTACATATCTGACAAAAGCTGGTTTTGTTTACTGCAGTAAGGTTTTGTGTCTAGGCAGATGAAATTGTATTTTACCTCTTAAAATGTCACTTACAACAGCTTTTTGAACAATCATTTCATTTTGAAATTAACATGAAATGTAAGCAGGGTACCCATGGATATAGCTTTGGCTTTTTTTGTAGATGATTAGTCAGATAGATTTCAGCGAGCAGTGGGTTCAACAACCTCAAAGAACCTCCTCTGTTGAATGAAGATTCGGCTTCATTATTAGATAAGCCAAAGTACTGGTAACATCAGTTAACATATATAAAATATCACGTCTATGCTACTTCTCCTTGGTTCGTAAAGATAATTTTATCTTCTGTTCCTTTCTTAGCATTATATCTACAGGGACACTTTCGTTGAAACAGCTCCAAGCTTCCATATATTCAGAATAACATTGGCTTTGAAATGCTTTTCAAAGACTTTCTTTACTTCTAATGCTTTGGGCCCTTGTCTTATAGCCATCACGTTGAAATGTCACGTCATATAAGGTTTGCGTGAAAAGCATCAAGCAGCATATTCAGTTTTATCATACTCCAGTCAAGAACATTAATCAAATTACTGAGCTTAAAAGCATCTCTTCTTACTATTGAAATTAGTCTTGATTCAGTTGGATAGGTTCACGTTTGATATAAGCATCTCAGGAAAGGTGATCCAGTGGTATCGTCAAATCATCAAGTTTTTGACTTACATACTATTAGGTCGTCAAGAAATTAATGTCGCATTTTGGAACACTTTCATTAAGCACCTTCCAAAAAACGTACCTCACGTATAATAGTTAAACAAATCGCCTAAACATCACGTTGGTGTAGCCTATATAATGTGTA